TAATATTTTGGTGGCTCAGGCATTGTGACCTAGCATTTTCGATTTTAATAACCTGATGATGGACTGTGTGGTCCGAAAACGTTTGTTTTATTGATGTGGCCCTTTTAAGGGTTTTTTAAATAAATATACCCATTTACAAAGATTAACCTCTTTTTGTTATACGTGGTATACAGCCAGCTACAGGAATTTTTCCTTGTGGATTTAGTTAATGAGGCATTTTCAAAATTGAAACCGTGCAAAAATGTTCCCGACTCTTGATACGCATTGGTAATTGTTGATGATACTGATGGTCGAGAACAACTTTCAGCAATCATTCCCGATGTTGGCGAATCATGAGGGTTTAAATTTTTTTGAGCATTATCGTTCTTATTTCTTATTGAATTCTCTATATATCCTTCGGCAACCGTGCTTGATTTCTAGCCCCCATGTCGTTTGAGGCTTCTAGATTTCCGTCTCCATCAATTAAAAGTGTTGCTGAAGTTCGTCGTAAAGAGTGACCCGTGTATGCGCTTGCATCGTTTAAATTTAAATAACTAGCTACTTTTTGGGACTAATCCCATGACGCTTCGGTAGCACTTTCCCTTTTGGTACTTGATAAAAAATCGGTTTTCTTTAGACTTCTTTGCAGTTCCTTCGCTTGTGTTTTTCGGAAAGGCACGTCACTTGAAAAATTTGCTTATATCCACATTTTTTCTAATAACTAACTCGGATTTTATCATAGAGTATCGTGACCACATTGTAGAAGATTTCCATTTATTTTTATTTTCCATTATATTAAAATATTCCAGTAAAACGTCTTCGGTAACTTGCCGTACTCCTCTTGTATCACACCACTCTTGGAAGTGCTTGTACGCTAACTGATACTTTATTCCGGACTTGGAGGGCCCCAAACGTGCTACTGCATTATTAGCCGCGGACTCCATTTCGTTTAGGTTTTAAATTTTCGCACTAAATTTGCGCTTGCGGTTGCAACAACAATAAGCTGTCTTTAATATTTGCAAGCAACTGTCAAACAACTGTAACCAGGGAGACGCAAATCCCACCGACGATTTAATTATTTTAATTTCTAACATCTAGACGACTTTGATAGTTGTCACAGTTAATTTCGAGTAAAAATAGCGTATGAATTGTACTATTTATGGTTGAAAATTGCTACGTTTGAAGAAAAAATAGTATACTTTATTCGGCAAAGAAGCGACTTTTCTTGACTTGCCCTCTATTACGCGCCTCACTTCGTTCGGCGCGTAATATCGGGCGCGTCAAGAAAAGTCATGGTTCTCCGCCTCATAAAGTAATATACTATTATTTATATTGCTTAAAGTAGGTTTTGCTTGTACTTTTGCTAAATCTTTACTGCAAACTTATTTATTTCATGACCTTATGATTTTATGAAAAAGTATAAATAATTTGATAGGACTACAGGACTATATGGCAAGGAGAAACCAACACACTAAATATTCTCAAGATATTATAACTATGGCAAGTTACAAAAAACAAAAGGCCCCTAGTTCGTGGCAGACTTTAGATGGTCAAGGGGTGCTAAGAATCCCCACGACAAATGCTAGGAACCCCACGACAAATGGTAGGAACCACCCGAAAGTGGAAAACAAAAATTATAAGTTAAGCATTGGAACCTGGAATGCAAAATCTCTCTTTATGCCAGGAAATCTCATAACATCGTGAAAGAAATGAAAAGGAGTGGGAGTCAACATTTTCGGAGTCAGTGAAGTTAGAAGGCCTGGATCTGGATAGACAAACATCGATAACCATGTAATATACTACGCTGGTAATGACGATCCTCATCATTGTTGACCAGAAAAGCAGTAAATGTATAAAGAACTTTCTACCTATATCCGATAGAGTAGCTATGCAGCAAACTAATACCACTCCTCGTAATATTAACTTTATTCAAGTATATGCTTCTACAGCAGAAAACCCAAAAAAAGTACTCACAAACAGCTAATCAAGATCACAAAGAAAAATGCTGTGAATATTATTATGGAAGATTTAGATTTTATTGCCAAAGTAGGTGAAGGGCGGACCAAAGACGTAGTAGCAAATTTTGGTTTGGGCCAAAGAAATGACAGAGGAGAAACACTGGTCCAATTTTGCCAAGAAGGAAATCTAATGATCGCACAGACCTGGTTTAAACAACCCAAAAAAAGATTTTATACATGGAAAGCACATGGCGATATTCAAAACCGCATAATAAGAAACCATATTGATTATATATTAATTGACAAACGTTATAGAAATGGAATCAGGGGAGTTAAAACATATCCCAGGACAGACATCGGTTCCGACCACAATCCTGTTGTTGGTAAAATTTCAATCAAACTAAAGAAAATCAAATACAGAAAGAAGATAATACCTAACTTCGAAAAACTTAAAGATCCAATAGTACAGGCAGAAATAGAGAAAACACTCAATGATACACCCAAAGAAAAGTTCAGTGAAGCACCCGCAGAAGCAACAAAAGAAAGTATTTGGCACACCTTCAAAACAACAATCACAACTATAGAAAGAACAGAACAGACCAAAGAAGAGAACAACTACAAGACAACATCAGAAAAACAAAGAATACATGGATGACAAAAGAAGTCCTAGAACTGATGGATATAAGGAGATCTTAGAAAAATCGAAATGAAAAAAAAAATATAAAGAAACCCAGAGAATCATCCGATTCTCTGGGTTTCGAAAACAAAATTAGGAAAGCATAAGAAGAATAGATGAGCAGCAAGTGTGAGGAACTGGGAGATTTACTAAAAAAGCATGACTACTTTAATGCATACAAAAAGATTAAGGAAGTCACAAATATGAAGAAAACAATCACTACAGCAACTTTAGTAGATGATAACAACGATATAGTATCAAGTCCAGAAAATGTAGGGGATATGTGGGAAAAATACATCGAAGATCTGTTTGATGACGAGAGAACAGAATCACAAATGAATATAGTACAAGAAAAAATACTTGATATATTAACATCGGAAGTTAAAAAAAAACAATCAATGCGGCAAAGCCACGAAAAGCCTCAGGTCCAGATGAAATATATATAGAGATGATAAAGATTATCAATGAAGAAAATCTTCAGACATTAACAATATTATTTAACAAAATATATACCACTGGAATCTTCCCAGAAGACTGGCTTAGATCAACATTTATACCTATACCAAGAAAAATAATCATAAAATAATTTATTATCAGACCAGGATCTTCTTGCTCGAGTGCTTGTTCACAGATAGCTTCACTATACAGATTAAATAAAAGTGGCGATAAGATACATCCCTGCCGGACTCCTCGACGGATTTGATTTTCTTCTGTTAGTCTGCCCTCACCTGACATTTGCTGTTTGCAAACAGCAAACAGCAAATGTCGTTCATGTTGGTCCATCCTATTTATTACAGTCGCCACTTACTTGCGGTCCTTCTCTTCCTTTAGTTATTCGCATAGACTTTAATTTATATGCTATATAGAATTTTGGACACATTGCTAGAAGAACAAGCACGATGGAAAAACTGATAGTCGAGGGTAGAGTTGAAAGAAAAAGACCTAGGGGAAGATCTCCAAGCCGTTGGGTAGATCAAACAAAAACATGAGTAACCAAGGGTTACATGAAGCCGAACAACTAGCCTAGGACAGAGAAGGATGGAGGGAAATCCTAAAAAAAACTGTGAAGGCCTGATGGTGTCACCATATCCCAAAAGGGATTAGGACTGAGGAAGAGGAGGATATAGAATTACCGAAGATGAAAAATTGAACGCATAATAAAGTTTAATAATACTGAATCGAATATTAAGCTTTTGAATTAGGTCATTTAAGTAGGAACAACGGAGAAGAATTTATTCTGAATAAATGAGTCGGTCAATATGTCTACATTATGAATTTGAAAAACCTGCATGCAATAAAACATATCGTGGACCTCGTTTAGTAGGTGCTTTTAAGCCAGTACTTAAACCTTTGAGAAAAGCATCACGACTGTTTTGTATCGTAGTATCGCACCATTCGTAATTTATAGACTGGCCAACATTAACCCACGATTGGTCCAAATATATGATATTTTAATGGTCTTTTCGCAAACGTCGTATAGTTCTCAAATAATTATGGCACCAATAAATAATATCGTCTCGCTCCAACATGATGCTTCTTCGGCCACGTTTCTTATAAACAAATCCAATATCTTTCAGAAGTCTGTATAAAGTAAAAAGAGACAACGGCTGTATATTCTCATTACCTTGTATGAAGGTATGTATATGCTTTAAGAATGGCGGCAAATTTTTCATGAAAAATTCACAATGAACAATTCTCCGTAGAATACTTCTTACACCCTCGTCATATGTGAATATTCTAGAATTATATTATATATAATATCTATAAATAATATAATTTCCAACTTTCCAAATTCTTTCCTAGAAATTATGTAGATTTTTCTATTTTATGTAAAACATTAAAACTACAGTTATTGTATGTTGTTCTTGTAAAGAGGTGTTCAAATGTTACTCTTATGAAAACTGACAACCCTGCGCGTTTATTCTCCATAAGAAAAGCATTGCCGTATCTTACCCGTACTGCACTCTCAGTGTGACATTTTCTATAGAATAGGAGTATTTGTGCATTTTAAAAATGTAAAGATATTTATATATTTAGGGCTGATTATAATTTTACACTATAATTTTATTTCTATATTTTGAATGTAACTGAGGTCCGCGAAAAAAAGTATTTTTTGACTATATGACAATAATCAAGTAATACTATTTTCATATTCAATACTTCAGAAAAAGCTATAGGCTTTTTTTGTTTTAATAGGTAATTACCGTTCGTTACTTAAGGAATTGTTTGCAGTAAATGCTTTTGTGAACAGTATTTTCTTATCACTTTTATTAAATGCCCAAATATTGGTTTTGTATATTCAATTTATGTTCACTGTGGCAAAAAGGGCGGTTTAATATTTTAAAACAAACAAAATAATTAAAGTATGTAACTATTCAGATACTTACCGACTCCATTGTAATAATAATAGCTGATGCGAATGGTAAATTCAAGGCAAACACTACCTTTGTTATCACTACAAATGACATAATGTAATAAGTAATTAGCAGAAGAATCCATAATATGTCCCATAGTTTTTGAAAAATCACTAAAATTAAAAAAAAATAATTATTTGACCATCACTAACGGAAAGTAACTTCTATAGATAAAACAGATAAAATAGAAAATGAGAAAAAAAGCAAATTGAGTGAAATATAATATTGACATTTAATTATTCTATAAAATAACAATATTTCAAGAAACAGAGTAACCATACATCCGTGTGGATGTGGTCTGTCGCCCATCGGACGCATCCCCAGGTGGTGGATAGGGGAACGCCCTAACCAGTCCTAGGACTGGCGGGTAGGTGGGAAATAAAATACCACCCGTGAACCAAAACAGACTGGTATGGCAACCCAACAGAGTCCCTGGCCCTCCAGGTTGGGGATTAGGCTAGAGGCTAACAACCTCTTCCTGCAAAAATCATATGTTACAGAACCTCAAGAACTATTAGCCGGACGGAACTTACGACGACGACTCTGCAAACGAAAAATGGAATTAAGATTAGAAACGTGGAACACCCGAACCCTGTACCGAGCTGGAGCACTCGCATCTCTACTAGACATAGTGAACATGTACAGAGTAGATGTTTTGGCACTGCAGGAAATGCGATGGAGGGGAACAGGCATTCTTGACAAGAGAACCCACTCCATATATTACAGCTGCAATGAAAACCAACACATAGATGGAGTGAGATTTATAGTAAACCAAAGAACAAAAGGCCTAGTTATTGATTTTAAAGCCTACAGTCAAAGAATGTGCTATTTACGCTTAAAAGGTAAATTCTTTAATTACAGTTTAATTAATGCACATGCCCCGACCGACGACAAACTAGAAGGCGTTAAAGAACAGTTTTTCGATGACCTAGAACAAGCCTATAGAAGATGCCCCAGAAATGACATCAAGATAGTTCTAGGTGACATGAATGCAAGAATAGGACGAGAGCGAGTTTTTATGCCGACTATAGGCAGGCATAGCCTACACAACATCAGTAGCGATAACGGATTACGACTGATAACCTACTTAGCCTACTTAGCAGCAGCACTGAACATGACCGTCGCTAGCACCTATTTTGAACATAAGAATATACACAAGGTAACCTGGAACTCCCCTGATGGAAGAACAACTAGTCAGATTGATCACATCTTAATAGATTCAAGACACGAAATGGACATAATGGACTGCAGGAGTTATAAAGGCGCAAACATAGACTCAGACCACTGTTTAGTTATCTCAACACTAAGGGCTAGAATTTCAAATTCCAACAAAGAAAAAACAATAGATACAAAGAAATGGAATGTGCCGACGCTGAGAGATGCAACTGCTGCAAAACAGTACTGGGAAAATATTATCAATATGTTAAGAAATCAAAGTCCAAGCGAAGAAGACCAGACAGATATGCTTTATCGTGTTCCTACTGGAACACGATAAAGCAAGATATTAAGTCAGCAGCACAAGATGAAATAGGAACAGAAACTTGTACCCGAAAAAATTACTGGTTTGACGATGAATGCAAAGACGCAACACAGAAAAAAAAATGAAGCTTATGCAAAAATGCTTACCCGCCGGACTAGAACAAGTGTAGAGAATTACCAAACAAAGAGAAGAGAAGAAAAGAAAATATACAGAATGAAGAAACGAAACCACTTAAAAAAGGAACTTCAATATATAGAAAACCTCAACAGAGATAAAGAACTCAGAACATTCTATAAGAAAGTTAACATCAACAGAAAAGAATTCAAGGCAAACACAAATCAATGTTGAAGTTTGAATGGCGATCTATTAACAACAAGAACAGACGTAATAAATCTATGGACAGAATATTTTAACCAGATACTTAATATAGAGGAAGAAGAAGAAAACCCGGAAGACGAAAGCTGTGAGGTAAGCGGAGCAGACGAGGGGGAGGAGAATCCACCAACGATTCTGGAAGTTAAAGACGCTGTAAACAAACTAGCCAGAAACAAATCACCCGGAATAGATAATCTTTCAGCGGAATTATATAAAGAAGGTGGCCACGATATCATAATAGCGCTACAGCAGCTTATAAAAGACATATGGATACAGAAGTCCCTCCCCAGTGATTGGAATATTGGAATACTTTGCACCATACACAAAAACGGAGATATCTTTCAATGCTCTAGCTATCGAGGAATTACGCTCCTAAATGCAGCGTATAAAATATTCTCCAATATACTATGCCATCATATGACACCGTATGCAGAGCAAATAATAGCGATAACAATTACGCAAACGTAATAAACGAATAATAGAGCAATAACAATTCATCAGATTTCAACCCTGAGACAAATTCTAGAGAAAACACTGGAATACGGTGTAGACACGCACCACATATTTATAGACTACAAGGCAGCCTACGACTCTGTCAATAGAAGAGAATTGTTTAGAGCAATGATAGACCTGGGAGTACTAAATCAGTTGGTGGGTCTAACCAAACTAACTCTTGAAAAAGATGAATGGAGAGTACGAATCCAGGGGGAACTCTCTGAACCTTTTAATACAAATAATGGGCTACGTCAGGGAGACCCACTCTCCTGTATACTATTCAATCTAGCTCTGGAAAAAGTAGTACGTACGTCACAAATCACAACTACCGGTTCAATATATAACAAATCTGTGCAAATCCTAGCATATGCTGATGATATCAATATTGTTGGGAGAACAGAAAACGCAGCACGAGAGGTGTATGTAGCACTAAAGGAAGCGACTACAGACATGGGTTTAATAATAAACAGTAATAAAACGAAATACATGAAAATAGGTCAGCAACCACAAATACGACGGCCAGTTGTTATAGAAATCGACGTCATCGAAACAGTTAACGAATTTGTATACCTGGGAACGCTCGTCAATACTGAAAATGACATTACCGCAGAGATAAACCGCAGAATTTGCATGGCTAACAGATGCAGATACAAAAGTAAAACTCTACAAAACAATAATACGCCCAGTCCTAACATATGGTTCAGAAACCTGAACTTTAACAAAAAGCAATGAAAACATGTTGGGATGTTTCGAAAGAAAAATACTGAGGCGAATCTATGGAGCGGTAAATGAAAATGGTTTATTTATTTATTTATTTAGCGTATGGATAATTACAATACGATAAAAGTAGTATTTAGATAATAATTATTAATTATTAATTATGTTCAAATTGGAATTGTAACCTTAATGAAAATGGTCTCTGGAGAAGACGATACAACTTCGAATTCTATAGAATATACCAGGAACCAGATATCGTAAAACACATTAAGATAGGACGTCTGAGGTGGGTAGGCCATGTAATGCGGATGGAGCAAACCGACCCAGCTAGAAAAACGCTCCTTGATAGACCTATTGGTCAAAGAAGAAGAGGAAGACCCAGAACAAGATTCTAGATAACATAGACCAAGATATGAGAAATATGGAAATACGTGCTTGGCGGAGGAAGGCGATGGATAGGGACGACTGGAAAAGAATTCTTGGGGAGGCTAGGACCCACACAGGGTTGTAAAGCCAAAATGATGATGATAAGTAACCATACATAATTATAGTATATAGGAATGCCACAAACTAGTGGTAATAATTTATTTTTTTTAATCTGCATTTAAAATATTATGCTTTTTATCTAACTATAAATGTTTATAAATCGAAAAACCTCTTTCAACATCAATAAAAGTTATTGAGGTACTTTTAAACTTGTTTATATTGAAAGGCAGTAGTTCAAGGTCTAGTACAGGATACCTTGCTGAACTTCTGCAACTTTTTCCAAAATATAAAATCCAGTGCTTTTGTTTGAAACATATTGCCATTTAATTTAATTTTTACCGATATGTCGATGATTCCTTTAAGCGACATAATTCAGCGATCCGTCTATTGTTAGTCATCTGTGGTCCCAATTGACCATCTAAAAGGCACACTCCAATATATATTGTGGCTAAACACCCCGTACGGGGTTACGCCGCTTAAGCTCTCTAGATCTATTTTACGAGGTAGATTAGTCCTCATTTTCTTTATTTAATTTTTCTTGTTATTTCTCTTCACTGTTTCCTATCTCTGGTTTTTTCTCTCCATTGTCGTACGCCCGCCCTCTTGAGATCGTTTGTTACTTCTTGTAGCCACGTAGATCTTGGTCTTCCACGTCTTCGTTTACCAGCTGGTGTCCATTCCAATATTGAGAATATTGTCGTAGATGGTCCTGATCTCCATATATGTCCTAGCCATTTTGCCCTTTGCTATTTTATTTTACAAACTATATCCTCTTTAATTTCGTTTAGTAATTCATGATTCGTTCTTTGTCTATATTGGTTTTCATTAATTTTTTTTGGTCCTAGTATTGCTCTTAGTAATTTCCTTTCTAGTATTCTAAGGTCTTCCTCTTGTTTTTTTGTCATGCTAAGGGTTTCGGCAGCATACATCATAGTCGGTCGAATTATTGTTTTATATATTTTCATTTTCGATTTTTTGATCAGTAACTTATTTTTTAGAAGCGTTTTATTTGCATAGTATGTCTTATTTGCTGTAATTATCCTTTCTTTAATTCTGTTTCCCTTTCTCCATTATTTGCTAATAATATTCCCAAATACTTAAACTTTTCTACTTCTTCAAATATATATTCTCCCAGTCTAACCTTTTTGTTTTCATATTTTTTGTCAAATCTCATTATTTTTGTTTTTTCTTGATTTATTACTAATCCCATTACTTTCCCTTCTGCTACCAATTCTTTTAACATACTTTCCATTTTTTTTCTGTTCTTTGTTATTATCACAATATCGTCGGCTTATCCTATTATTTGTCCCTCTCTCGTTCTAAGTGCACCTTTGTTGATTTTTCCGACTATATATTCCAGGGCAAGATTAAACAGAGTTGCAGATAATGAATCTCCTTGACGTACACCTTTATATATAACAAATTCTTTTGTGTCTCCTTCTTGTGTTTTTATAGTTACTACGGTTTTGCTCATTGTCATTTTTATTAATCGTCTTAATTTGTTGTGTATTTCCATTTCTCTCATAGCTGTAAGTAATTTCGCTCTGTTTATTGAATCCAAT